AGTAGACTTGAGACCTCATATAAACTTATGTATCTTTTCTAGCTGAACTACTCAGCTGACTCATTTCAGCAAAATCCTGGGATGTGTTTTGGTTATAAGCTTCCTCTTATTCCCATCAGGTGATATTAGTAAGATTATATCCTCAAATATTAACTGAACTAAAGGGAAATCACAACAAATCTAAGAAATGTATTGGAAAAAATCCTGATAGTGGAGCTGTTTACAGAAAACAAACAAAAAAACCCCCCAACTCCTCATTGTAATTTTATGTAGATTTAATTGAAAATGAAGTAGATGTCCTAGTGTGCCTAACTGTGTGGGTAATGCAATAAATCAAACATACTAGAAAACTAGTGTTTTGATGGCTATGCAGTGTGAAACATGAAAATATTAATTTACAGCTAATGTATCATGCTGCATAACACAGAGAACCTATCCTGATAGTAGGATTTCTGATTGTTAAGCATGGACTGTAGTTCTGTTACAGCTCAGTGTAATATGCTTTGTATCATCACCCAAAAGCTGAAAGAGGGAGTACATGCAAATTGTTGAGAAGCATGCTAATAGACTGCAACTCATCTTAAAAATCTCTTTTACAGTGAGCTAAATTTTAAAAAAAATAAAAAGCTGATAACCTTTCCCTTCAAAACTGACAATTAAGGATAGTTTTTTGTGGACAGTCTATCACAAATCAGTAACATTTCAGTTTGGTTTTACCAGCATGACCTTCTGTAGCTTAGGAGCCTGGCTTTGTTTTACCTTTGCATAATCTTGGATGTTGTGGTAGCATCAGCTTTCTGCTGTTGACTAACCTTAAGATTAGAAGCTTGGAAGTGAATATAAAAGTTCATGATCTCTGGCTAATGTGTAGTGTTTAGTCAGTCCATGTTTGTCTTTGTGTGCATGCCCATGGTTTCCCATAAGGATGTAAAGGGAGGTCTGGCAGGGTTGGGGTAAGAGTGAAGTCTGGACCTGACTCAGTGGTGAGTACAAGCACACAGGGATATAACAGTGTGGCTTACCTGCAGTAACATAGACCTGTGCATTTCATTTAGCATGAGTGTGCAAAGGTGAGTGCTTAGAAAGGAAGAATTGTGGCTAATGTAGAGGAAGAAGGGAGTTTTAATAGCAAAAGCATAAAGGAGAAGGAGTAGATACAGCCAAAAATGAATGTTATGGATCTGTTTTTACTTCTACAATACTGGATCCAATTCTGTCTTCTCCTGTGATATGTCTGTACCAGTTGTGTAACTTGGATCTCCTTAAGTCTGTGTTGAGAGAGATGTAATTGCAGTAGCTGTAGGCTTACCAAAGCTGGCTTTCATCTAGCTTGCTTGGGCTACCTGCCCAAGTGAATACAGTCAAAGTAGGCTTGCATGGCTGAGACTGCTGCCTGCACCAGTACAACATCAGTACTGCCATTACATTGCTAACTAGATTAAAGATAATTCAGGCTTTCCATGTGCTGCAGCTGCACCTTAATGGCAGTGTAGGCATATTTGAACCCTCAGTAAGGAGTGTCAAGAAGAAATACCTTGTTTGTCATGTGCCATCTCAGAGAAAGTCCTCATCCTGATCTTTGGGAGTTCCATCTCCAGTAGTTGTTACAAAGTGAAACATCTAAAGCATCCAGCCTCAGCAGCACTGAGATTCCATGTATTGGATACTTAGCACACAGTCACTGAGAGTGGTGTTTTTGGAAATCTCTGACAGTACTTCCAACTAAATGGATTCAGTGAGTCTGATTAAGGTGCTCTAGTCAGAGTACCAGACTTCTCTTACCCCTGACTCAGGAAGTAAATAGCAATTAGTTTGAACTTTGTGAAGAAGTAACAAGGGCAGCTTTCATTTTTAGTAGCTTCATTTTGAAGCCTGTGCTATAAAATTTCCATTCCCTGCCCATCCAGTGTTCTACAGTAACATTTTTGATTTCTGCCCTTCAAAACGGGGACTTCTCTTTCTTGCTTTGCTTGCATAGGCATTAAATGTACGTGAGGCTTGGAAGAGCAGAGCAAATCCTGTTTCAGTCTTGTTTTCAAAGACGTAACAGCCCTATGTAGAGGCTGCTCAAAGTTTTTCAGAGAGCTGCAGCACCACTGCAGGCAGGTAACCTCCCTCTAGCACTGGGAAGGCATTTCTGATGGCCAATGTATTTCAGAAATGCTGAAAAGTGTTAAAAATACCCAAGACAAAAGATTTTGCATATTCCTTCTTGTTCTCTGAATTCCTTTCTGCAGTTCTTAATATAATGCAGTTTGTTACAGAAGAATTGCTGGCTCAACACCTTGTTACGTTTAAAAGGATTTTGCTTTCTTCTAGTTTTCTTCATCAGTTTGAACAACAGTTCTAAAATGCTGAATATAATCCTTGTGTTAACATAGATCAAACAAGGAGCTGCTTGTAAAAACTTATAAGTTTAAAAATAATTGCTCAGTGGACACTAACTGCTCAGGTGCTACAGGATGAACACCAAAAAAACCCCCAAATCCTTACTTTTTTCAAATAGGAGAACTAACTTCAGTGTTAACCAATTCAGTCATCACACAGCAGTCTGTAGAAGTTAGTTGTTCCAGGGCAAATTTCACGTGTAG